TAAAAGACTGGAAGAAATAATAATACTGTGAAACAAAGTGTCATTCTGGTTTGTCTGTCTCTTTGCCTGTCTTTCCTTTCATTTTTCTTTTCTTTGCTCATCTTATTTCTTCTTCTACTTCACATGCTCATGCTCTTAGTCAATAGTTCTGTGACAATATATATATATATATATATATATATATATATATATATATATATATATATATATATCGTATATATATATATATATCGTCACAAATATATATATACATGGTTGCCAGGCCGAACGTTCGGGGGCCCCTGGGCTGACCCCCGAACGTTCAGGCGTTCGGGGTCTCGTTCGGGGTCCGAACCCGAAGGGAATCGGCCACTGCCAAAAATTATTTCGGGGCCCAAAAATTATTTATTTATTTATTTATGTATTTTGTGAGTTCTGTATGACATGCGCTACATGCATATAAAATTTCAAGTCATTTTACCACGCCAAAAAAAAAAAAAAAAATCTCCAAACATGGCAGTGTCAAAACATACTCGGTCACTCAGTCTTTTTTTTTTTTTTTTTTTACTTTTCACTTTATGTTTTGATTTTATTTTGGTGCCTCAAATATTTTATTATTTTTTGAAACTTTTTTTATGAGCTTTATTTTATGTGTTATGATCCTGGCCAATTTCGAGGTACACATTCATCAGATAGTACAATGCCGTCCAATTGCATAAAGAAATGAATGAACTTGAGAGGAGAGAGAAGGTTAGAAGAAGAAGAAGTAAGAAAGAAGAAGAAGATGATGTACACCAGCATAGACAAATGATAAAGCTCTTCTTCTTCGCTCAACTCTCTCTTCCTCCTTATCTCCTCCTCTCTTATTCACACGAGAAATAACAATACAATGTTGAATAGCTGAACCAGAATCAAAGTATGAATCCCTCTTCTACTGCAGGTATCACTTGAGGTCCACCATAGCCATGGCCGTCTCTCCCACTCTTCACTCTCATAGGCCGAGGCTATGGCGGACTACTAGGCTTCGCCCAGATGTCCAAAGGACAACCCAAAGCAGCTATGGCTGCCCTAGCTCAGGCCACCATGCCTGACTCTGCCTCGAAGCTTCTTGGTGTAACTCAACCCCAGCTGGGGCCTTCCTGCTGCAGCGCCCACCAAGGTGATTAAGATGGCTGCCACATAGCCAGGTACGTACCTCTGGGCTCCTCCCCCTTCCTGTCCTTCTTCCTCCTCCGAGTCCTTGCTTCTTCCCCAACAGCGCTGCTCCAAGCTAGCGCTGCTCCAAGCTAGCGCTGCCCCAGCCAGCGCTCCAACCAGTGCGTCGCCAAACTTGCACAGCGACAATGAGGCTGGGCTCTTTGCCCGGCCTGGAGATATAGCAGCCTGCTTGCCTCTCGGGCGGTGACTTCCAGGCCGCTCGGCCTCCCAAGCAACAGGTACCTCCTCCCTTTCAGAGGGAAACATCATTGCAGACTTTGATATTGCCCGTACAAGCCCTAGACTCAGACTGGTTGGACTGGTACCGCCTAGACCTAGCCTACAACTACTGGGCCTCTCAAAATGCCACTTTTGTCTACTTCTGCTCGCCCTCCAGTACCCGCACATCTACCTCTTCAGGGTGCGGTACCGGCCTACCTGCTACTTGAGTGTTTTCCCTCGCTGCAATCCCTCAATGTCACGGCCACATGTAAGTACCGGCCCTGAGGCCCCAACGAACGAACAAGTGCCCTTATGGGCCACGCACACACTCAAGCCAAACTCAGACAGACATGCAGTCCAGCAATCGTGCACACACACAGACTTAGTAGCAAGTGGGAAACTCAGCAAGGCATTCAGTCCATGAGCAAAACTCAGAAATCAGTCGTGTGTTTCATTCCATGCTTGGTCGGGTCATCACACTACTCCCCCCTCAAGAGCGAGGTCCCTTCGAGCAAGTAACTCATTCTGAGTCCCCGACAAACGCATCGTAGGCAAACAAGGCAAAGAGATTTCGAGAATACTCTGTCACAGCGAGCTTGGCAGAGATTTTAGGTGCATCATTAGAGGCAATTTGTCGCTTGTAGGCTTTAACAATGCGCGGTGCGCTGCGCAGCAGTTCCTGCTTGGAAATCCAGAATAGATCATCGAACGGGTGGTACATGAAATGAACCTGGTACTGTCTGTTGCGTCCGTTCCGTACGTGCTTTTTAATTCTGTCTATCTCATGTCCGCCTTTGATTGCACGAGGAATCATGTCTTCACAGTAATTGAACGACTTAGCATCACGGTGGAGATACAGTTTTGATGCATGAAACACGGGATATGTGCGCAGATGAGGTGGCACAGCAAGCACGTATGAAGGGCCAAATTTATCTTCGCCAATCACATCCAGAACTAGAGTGGGAGAAGTTTACGTGATACTCCCTCTTCTTCTGAAAACTCAAACATCTTGACCCAAACATAACTTCCCACCTCGATATCTGAAGGTCGGCGCTTCTTGTTTGCATGATGGACCATGGCTTGCTGTCGCTTGGTCATTGCTGCAATGGCAACTTTGAGCAAGCGATCGTACTTGGCCCTGAAGCCAGGCCTGCCGGGTGTTAAACCAGTTGGCTGCTCAGGGAATAGCTAGGACAACGGATTACGAATCAACCAACCGTAATGCAGCCTGTTTGGTGTCATGCCGGTGGCAGAATGAATGGAGTTGTTGTAC